GGAACCCAAATTTACTCCAGATCACTGAACAAGCTGGGTTATAACAAATATAACACCTAGGTTATAAAAAAATCCTAAAAAAATTTTCGGTTTCAGGTCCTAAACAACTTCCTTTTAACAGAAACTGGGGATTTCCAGGGAAATTCCTCACAACTCTGGAGTTTTTCAGGGAAAAATTTCCACCCCAGACCTGGAGTTTCTCTGACGTCGAAACCACAAAAGAAACAGAAAGGAAATTACAACTCAAAACGGAAAGAGAACTTTTGAATCTAGAGACAAAAAAAATAAAATCTTGTTGTCAGCGAGTTTCGGAAGGAGAATCAGAATTTCCCATCACGTGCCAAGGATGAGGTTCAGCATTCCAAGGAAATTATCAGCACATATGGAACGCTGACCTCACCCCCACTTGGCACAGCGCTTTCTCAATAATCCCAAAACATAAAAATAAAAAATACGAATAAAATCCGTACCTTTTTCCGCTTGGAGCTGGCAGTTTTCTCGCTGCTCTGGCCCAGCTCAGCGCTGCCGCAGTTGTGTTTTTGCAGCCGTGCCCTGCACACGCCGGAATGCTCCGAGGGGGCACAGCTCGCCCTCTCCGCCCCTGGCAAAGCCGCCGTCCCTTTTTTCTCCGCGGGCTGAAAAGCCGCCGTGAAGTTCAAAGGGTTATAGGGATCGTCCGAGCTACAGAACGAGTTCCAAAGTTTCAAGCTCTCCGCCTCATCCACGCTCTCGCAGTCCCACTCGTCCTCATCGGAACTAGGCGAGCCCTCAGAGGACTCTGCCCATGAGCCTTCCTCCTCCTCCTCCTCCTCCTCCTCCTCCATGTCCGACATTCCCTTTCCCGGCTCGCTGGAAGACGTTTGGATGGTGGCCGTGAAGTTCTGAGGGTTGTAGGGATCCAAGCTGTAGAAGGAGTTCCACAGATGAAGCCTCTCCCCGTCCTGGCTGCCGGCGTCTGAGTCGGAGGGCAGCTCTTCGCTATCAAACCCGTCATCATCATCTTCATCATCATCATCATCACCATCATCCCAGTCTTCCTCACTCTCCTCGCCGCTGGATACTCCCCCGATGATATAATCGATTAATTTATTCGCACAGACAGGTCTGGTGGATATTGGGAAGTCTTGCTCTGTTTCCGAGTCCTCACGTTCCTCTTCAGCCAAGGCTTCTCCCTCCTCAGCCGCACCCCGGAGCCCCTCCTGCTCCTCGGGGACCCCTCCGGGCTGAATCCCCGCATCCTCAGGATGCTCTAAATCCCCGTTATTACCGCGCTGCTCCCCGATTTCCAGGCAGACACCCCTGTTCTGCTGCTGCTGTTCCTCCTCCAGGCTGTGGTAGCCGTGGTCGGGGTCGGGCACGGGCAGATGCCAGCGCTGGAGGAACGCCAGGCGCTTGCTGCGCA